AACGATCGATCTTAAGGGCATTGACATTGTTGACCCAGCGCTTCCGCGAGCCAGATGCACCGGACACATAGGCCACGCTCTGTTCTACACCTCCACGTTTCCGTCCTCGGCTTCTTTCGGTGCGACAAGAAGAAGGCTGCCGGATGAGTTCACTGACACCGGTCGCACGGAATTTCGTGGTTCCACCGTGAGATAATACGACGGTTAGCGAGGAAGTTCGCCTCGGATACTCGGATACTCGGATACCGGAGGTCGTCGACGTACGGCAGGCTAACGAACCTTGACAACTGGCGGTGAACGCGAGAGAAGAGGAGGATCAACGGGCTCGTCGATTTTCATCGAGGCATCTGTACAAAGTCGATTTGCATCGAGCTTGCGGCGTCGACTCCGTCGAGCTTACGGCTGGCAGCACTGAGTACGTTCGACCCATCGAGCTTCTCTCGAAACCATTCGCCTCTCCTCTCCCTCTCTCACTCTCTCTCTCTTTCTCTCTCTCTCTCAACCTCGCTGCTCTGTCTACTTACACGGTGGTTGCACCGGCCTTGTCGCACCCTAAATCTCTCTCCTCGAAATTCTTTAATCCTTTCCACTGTCTGGACTCGAGTCGCGGCGACTTCAAGGTCCGTCTTCAGGGCGAGTTTCGCTCGCGTTCCCTACGATACGGTTCGATGCTGTTTCCAGACACTTTCTTATCCTTGACCGTGCGCGAATTCGCCTCGATGTCGAACAATTGTCATCGATGACATAACGCACAGCAAAATCTGTCCACCGGTTACATGTCGTTACGCGCGGAGTCACTGTCTGGGAGCTACTGTCGGTGCCTCCTCGTTGCCTTCCACTTCGCCGCTGCCGCCGCCCCCGCTCCACGGAATCGCGGCCCAGGCTCGGATCTATCTACGGTGCCCTTGCTTTATATTTCTTTCAACATCTCACGATACTACCATCTAAGCTACTTAACATCGTGTCTCTTCATCATGAATTTCGAAAATTGAATATTGCTTTCTTGAAAAAAAAAAATTGGAGGGACATTTTCAAATTCAAATGATTTCATTTATTTCTTTTTTATAAATAATGGAAATATGTACTTTGAATTGAAATATCTTGATTGATTAATGGTAGAATGATTATCAATTCAAAGTTTCCATTCGATAATCTCTAGTATCAGAATGTTTATTTATAGAATTTTGATGGATTAGTGTTCAGTTGCTATTAGATCTTTGATACTGTAATAGAAGGTAATTAGTCCTGAACAACGTTGAAATACTTCTTAACAATTGATTTATTTGAATTTCTTTAAAATAATTTCGACGTTGCGCTAGATATTGTAATTTAAACGCTTTTCAACTATATTATACCAGCTTATTTATACATACAGAATGGTTAAACGCGTTCCAAGTTATTTATAAAGTAAAGTGTGTTTCAACATTTTCAGGGCGAGATTCACTCTTCCAAATTCTTTGCTCCGAAAACCATTTGGCAATGAAATAGGGCTTTATGATGGGGCAAGTGATCGTTAATTAGTAATGACTGACAGAATTTCTTAGAAACTGTAATTTCTATTTCATAACGAGCACATATATTATCTCTTTGCCAAGTTTGTTAAACTCTTTGCTAAGTACCATTCGAATTAATCATTTTTTAAGGGTAGTCGTCAGATCCTTTCAGGGTAAAATTGGGGTGATTTGAAAACGAGATGCGGGTAAAGATAGCGAATCGAGTTAACAGCTTGATATTTGTAAAAATGAAAATATTGATAGAGAACGAATACAGGGTGATAGGACAGTGAAAGCCAGCACTGTCGCGTTCTTACCCCTTACCCCGAGATAGCCAGCTCGCGGCCGGAGCACCGACCATGAAAAGAGACCGAAGGAACAAGCGACGAAGACAGACGCTGAGGAAGAGAATGGGATAACCTGTGTGTATATACGGGTATACAGAGTGTACCGAAGGTAACTTCGATTACAATAGTATCAACGATTTTAGCAGCATTAAAACAGAGAAAATTCTATCGATTAAATAGTTAATTAACCAGCAATCTATTTTCTCGTATCATTAATAAAATTAATTAAGACGACACTTTTTTACCCCTACGTTTCGCTTCTAATAGTAAACTATCAATCGACTAATTCAATTAAATGCTTCCAATTAAATAATCTTTCTCTATATGTATTAATAGAACATTACTACCCTTGATACTAATATTTTCAGTTTACACGTTACGTAGCTTGGACTTCGTTAATACATTTGTCGTTTCACGTGAAAAGGGAGGGAAAAAAAGGGCTCCTGGTATTTTCTGGACGAAAGATTTACCCGTGTCCCCGACGTGGAACTAGTTTTCGATAAACGAGCACCTCCTCGTTAAGTGGCTCCACCGAAGGGGGCCGAAATCGTACTCACCCTATATCCCTGTACGTGAGCAACAGAGAGGACTTTATCAAAGTCGAAGAGAGAGGGTAGACGATGAAGAGGAAAACTGAGGTGAGACAGAGATAGAGAAATATTTTTATTAAAAGGAGGGAGGCAACGTAATGGTGGAAGAGGGACAGATTCACGGCGCAGTACACCGTGTCGGATGCTGATGCTGCATTAAGCCCCGTTTGCACTTCCGCCCTTCCATTCGCGAGCTTCGATCCTTTCATATGCTCCCTTTGCACCGCTACCACCGATTGTTTCCAATGATTTTTATTTTATATTATATCTCGGAGCTTTTGTACCGACTGTTTCCTTTATTTTTCAATGATAATATTGTAAAATTTTATTTCCACGTTTCAGTCTGATTGATTTGGTAATTGGTAGCAATTTATCAAATTTCCATTCATTCTTCTTTAATTTATCATCTAGCAAATTACTTAATTTTGCTCTACCGAAGAAATTCTACCCAAGGTAGACGATATTAAATGTTTCTATGAACAAGGCCCATGAAATTTCACAATGCAAAGGCTTGTTGCACTCGAGATCCATCGACAAACAATGGCACGGAGAGGGAAGTTGTAGTACGTAATCTTAAAACAGAATCCTCCGTAACGAAAGGACCATTGACTCTTCTAAGTGAATGCTGTGGAATTTATAATTCCGTCTGCAACTACCTAGAATCCTAGCGAATCTCAAGGAAAGGAAGATACGTAGAATTCCGGTTGATGGTATGGGAAACGGTTAGACGGCGTTAACTACAGGCTTTTTCTTTCTTTGCCAAGAAGCTAGTCTTCCTCGTGTTTGCCATTGACTTAAGACAAACTCACAAAGTATTCCAGCAAGGTCACGTGATGGACTTTGTCCAGGACGAGACGAGGGAGCATACATAGAAGGGAGACGTCACTGACCGTGGACGCACGCGAGACTCGCGACAATTTTGTCCACGACATAGCAGGAACTTCGTGCATCGGCAGATAAAGCGGAAGAATGCGGCCTCGGTGAACTCTGATTCGAGGAACACGTGCCTTTTACCATTTCCTATCAACCCTCGCTCTGGACCAACTAAACTAACGACCAGACAACTATGCTTCTCTTCAAAACCTGGCTGATGAGTATCCAAAGTTCATTTTATCCCTTCTTCAAGGTTCACATTGCGATACCGTAAACTATTCGACCTTCAAAGGCTGCACGATTTAATGATATATAAGAAAAATAATTTAAAAAAGAAAATGGAAAATTTTTAATTAGGTACTTATAAAATTGTTGACCTATTCGACCACTGTTAATTTTTTTTTCTTTTTTTAAATAAAAATTGCTACTTGAAAATAAAGATAATCGACCGTATAAAAATATTGTTTCTATTACCCAAAATTCTCAGTGTTTTTAATTAAGTAGATAGAAGAATGGATGGTTTATTCATATGGAAATTCGATGACCACCCACACACGAGTGACGTGGCAGTCAAAGTGACTAAGTGAACTTATAAGTGAACTGTAGCATTTTTCTTTGGAAAATATATTTGGAAATGTGTTGAAAGCTTAATAGAGTATTTTGTTGGTAAAAAAAATCAATGTCTCTCCACCCTCGGACACGTTCAGTGTTACTAACAACCGAATCACATGAATGGCTTCCATCAGGTAATCCGAGGGAGTGTTCGGCCGACGAAATACCAGGGAAGTGTATTTGGGTTTTGATAGTGGATACAGTAGTTTGGCAGTGATTACGTGACGTAGATCAATTTTGATATTTGGAGAAATTTTGGAGAAATTTGGGAATTCATTCTTCCATTTTATTGCAAAAGAGATTGCCACCATTCAGAGATCAGCAAATACTAATCAGTTGAAAAATCAATGTACGAGTAACGGGAATGAAATAAGGCTTCTCGAGATACCAAAAGGATATTCGAATTTCAGATTTGAATTTTTTAAGATAACAATTTGTATGTAGAAATCTATATGATCGGCTGAATGAACATAGAGGTTGGCAACACTCCTTGCTAGAGAGCATGGCGGTTCGTAAAGATTGCTGTTATTTTAAAGTTCAAAACGATGTAACTTTTCGATCGTTTCGCTAAAAATAAAAATAACGCGAAGATTAAAAGCTGATTCATGATTGATGTTTAGAAATGTAAATTCTGAGTTATTCGAATGCTAAGAACGATGCGAGTTAATATAACTTCATCCAGAGTTAATTTTACCATTCCTGTTTACAAATGTCAAACCTACGTCTACAAGATAGATCGTTCAAATTAATAACAAACGTAAATGCATATGAAAAATCAAAGATGCATATTTAATGAAGCTGCAGCAAAAAGAACTGCGATTAATAATGTATTATAAAAATTACTTGACTGGTTTTCAAAAATGGAACGTTGAATAAATTTAAAAACCAATAAAACAAATGAAAGAAAAAAATTACCCGCATCATGAATCATTGCTTTGGATTATTTTTATATTCCATAGAATGTATCATGGTGACTAATTTTCCTATTGTAGCATAATATTGTTACAAACGTAGGAACAAATAAACATGCTATTAAAAGCAACTCGCGGGATAACGTAAACGGTGGATCCAAATTTGGCTCAACAACATCGTTGGCAGGTACACAACTGCCAGTAAAAACACAAAGAAATACGCACATTCGTCTGACTGTTGGTTGCTACTTCCTGATCGCTACAGGTGGCCTGGTAAAACCCTCTTCTGGGTTTAGCACGCCTACACGATCCAAGACGTCATTGGATTTTCTCTGGTCCAAGCTATCCGGTGCCGTTCTCTTGTTCGATTTCGTTGAGGCCAACGTAAGCTCGCCGTAGAGACGTTCGTTGCGTCAATCTCTAAATCTAAATTTCATTCGACTTCGAGGAAGAAGCTGAAATTTCCAAAGTATTTAGAGTGTTCGATGAATCAACATTCTACAATAATACCACAATAGTAATATCGTAAATTCTATTATCCGCGGAACCGCATAACGAGATTGTACTTCGAATCTTCTGTTCAGTCTTATCGAGGTTCTTTGATTCTCAGAAGCCCTCGACTGGGTCTAATTAGACCCAACTTTTCACAACCAACAGGGGAAAGTTGTGCTTTATATAAAAAAAAGTTGTAGCTGCAATAGAGAAATGGAGAACCCTGGGTGAAGATAGGGAGATCCTTGCCTAGATATTCCTACCCCTTAATGTACATCTATTTAACTAAGGGAAGCCTAAGAAGAAAAATGATAAAAAAAGAGCCTACAGGATAATTTCAGAAGAACACATCGCCTTTTTGGGATTGTTTCTCCGGCAATGTCTGTTTTATCAGTGTATGTATTCAACTTTCTTCTGAATACATATACATTGACGTCAGAAATTGTTTTCACCGTGAACATCGCGTATTTTACGTAGAATTGACGAGCCACTTAGGAATTTAATTGCACCTGACGACGTCCGTCTTCTTCAACGGTTCGATGATAACTGTCAAAGTCGAGAAGTACCCAACCGATCGATCACGTTTCTAGACTGCACGTGATTCACTGCCTGAAACTTATGCTTTTCAAGGATTTTTCCTTTTTCATTATCTTCGTGTATCGCTGAAAGTTTCAAAATGAAATTAATTTCACTGTTTAAAAGAGTTGATCGTTTATGGCCAAAAGGGTTAATTTAAAGTCAAGTGTAGAAATGAAAAGTGTACCATTGGTCATTAAAGTCGATCAAATGAACTGACGAATTTTTCATCTTATATTTGGACTGGATGAAGTCAAAGATAATATTTTTCTGCTTCTGCTACCTTTCTAAATTTATCGTTGGTGATTAACCTCTGTAACGTAACGTAAACTTCGAAAATCACGGTACGTGATCGTATTACGTACGTACTCGGTCTGGAATTTTCATGTAAGAATTATAATTACCATTGTGAGAAATAAAGGAAAAATGTACGGAATGTTGACTTTTGTCGGAAGCAAAAATGAAATCTGAATTCTGACTTTCTAGGGTTGAAGAGTACTCCATAAGGAGTAAATGTCTTGCAAGTGTCCGCGATTTTGCTGAAATTAGAATTGGCACGGCTCGAGATGCACCCCGCGGATTTGCAAACTGCAAATATCACGAAAATGAAGGAAAATCTGCGCGTACAGTGGATCGACGGTGCAATCAGTTCGTAGAAACGGATCGGCGAAACTTACAATTCGCAGAAAGGTATTTGTAAGTTCAAAATTGAAGCTTCTTCGTGACGAGCAACTGTATTCGCGGTTATAACTCACGCCTACGTCATATCATCACCGATAGCGGAAAAATTTTCCCGATATTACGTCATTATTTCGATATCAGTTCGATGGTATTTTTTTATGAAGGTGGACAGGGAAATTGCAAAACGGCAACATATTACCGTGCGATCAATGGACAGACGATTCGTGACATTATTCTCATATTTTCTCAATGAACGAATTGCATAGATCGTTCGAGGATCTATATAAATGCAGAAGAACTTAATTGTATCATTCGTACATTCAGATCATCGAAAAATTTGTTCAACGATACTATTTTATTTTAAGTTGGTTGTTACCGATGACCAAAGCTTCAAATGCAATGTAATTGAATAATTAATAAGAAAAAATGGAAGACAAATTTTGAATAACATCACAATTACAATAATTCCAAAAATTAATAAATTCAAGTCTCAAGTTTAGAAAATCAGCCATTTGTGTCTGATTATTACACCAATTTTGGAATATCCAATTCGTCCATTTTCATAGTAATAATTATAGAGGGTATTCCTGTGACACACCCATATAGTTAATGACATCATTAATAAGTCAATACAAGAAATCACTGATCATCGATAAATTAATGAGTAGGCTGTGATAACGATCATGACAATCCTTACATTTTTTATTCCTCTTCTTATTTTAAGTACTGCCCTTGCTTTGGAAAGCAGATTGAAGAAAATATCTAACGGAAGTGTTATAATTACGACACCTGGCTGAATCTCTGGCGGTGTATGCATCATACGAGTAATCGTGCACCGATAGATAAAGGCTTGCTGGTTCGAAGAGTGCGGTCAGTATGGTCCCGGACGCCGATCTGTGAACCACGTGAACATCATCAAGATCCATTCTCCGTTACGTGATCCAGTGTCTTCTTCAGTGAACGTGATTCAAAGTTGTACGAAAATTATTTATACCGTTGGACGGTCTGTTTTCGTGTCTTTGAAAATTCGTGTTAAACTTTGCCTTCGTATAGTTTTTACCTGTTCCTCTAATAGTGCCAATTACCATAGGGTACCAATGTTAATTATGTCTGAATAAATTGATCTGGATGGTAAACAATTGTCAATAGGTATGTTTTAATAAAATGGCCTTGTTTCTTTTTCTAAAGGTGTCCTTTGAATTCTGTGTGATTGATGAAGGTCTTAATAATTTCTTGAATGAAAGCGAACGAAAAAACCGGTATACTTTTTAGTACTTTCTTCGATGAAACAGCAAGAATTATAGGTCAACAACTGTTCATTTATCAAACTTTCTTTTCGAGATAAAGTCGATCCTTTTCTACTTGGTCCCTTAACTTGTTTGCAGACGAAGGTTTCTTAAGCTTGGTGACGATTATACGAGTAAAATGTTATTTAATTAAAATAAATTCTTAGATTTGTAGCTTTGTAACTTTGTACATTTTTTAAATTTATAATATTAACTAAAATCTCTGGACTAAAATCTTTTCCTTGGACCTCAGAAACTTCATTAATATTACAATAATTAACCTTCTAAATTAATTCTAACAATAAGATGGCTAAAAACGTACCCAGATAATTGCATGAAAATGATAAAAGAATTTAGAAAATATGGAGTCATTCTCCATGTAACACAATTATTGTCTAATTGTAGATCTACCCATCAAGATTGCACTTTGAACTGACAGATCCGACGAAAGATAGAAGACAAATATTTTCAATCGAACGGAGTAAAACATCAAGAACACTTTGCTTCGCCAAGTCAATACATAGATGCTCAAGGAAAAGATGAAGAAGAAATACATGTTCTGTTATCAAAGTTAATACTGCGCCAACGGAGCGTTATTATCTTACTTACCGTTCAGTCTTTAATCGATAGCAGGAAAATAATCAGGAAAGGAGATCTTGTATATCTGATAGAGCTTTGGAATTTCATTTACCCGGTTGAATCTATACCAGGAGACCTTCAACATCCTTCCGGCTTCAATGCTAGTCTTTGTGAAATTCACGAAACAAGATTATCTTCTGAAAAGTGTATATTAATCAATTAAATTATATTCTATTAGAACCAAAGAAAAAAGTAACATTCAACGAAAGAAATTTCTAAAAAGAAAAATTTACCTTTTGAAAGGTGCATAGTCTTCACAGAAATATATTACTTCCAGTGGAACTATAAAAAAAAAAAAAAATTGCTATAAAAAATCGGTGAATCGAAAATTAAAACAATGATACTGAAGCATCAAATACTAAGAACATTTAATTTTTTTGCAATTTTTGATACCTAAAGTGTACCAAGTACTCTTTTTTATTCACGAAAAAGAATAGACACTGGCATATAATTTGGACCTTTAAAAGCTTTTCGGAACTAAAAAACCAGGGAATCTAGTTCTATTAAACGTTTGAAAAGCGTTTTACGACAATATTTGCCGAACGTATAAACAGATTTCGAGGAAAGATGTCTGGAAATTCTAAAAAGCTTTCGCTGCTACTGTACGTTCTTCTGTGTGACCTGGCGATTTGCATGGTTCGTACGGGCGATAAAATGCCAACGATGTATTCGATTCCTTTGGTACGTATAACTATAATAATCAAAGCATAATACAATAATAATCTTTCAAATATGAAAATAGATCTTTCAATTTATAATTCAAATATGAACTTATAGATCAAATATAGACTTTATTTAGTGTATCATTGAATTTTGAAATTTATGTTTTTAACACAGTTTCATGCTTCATTGATCGTATGGCCTTTTGCAATATAAAAAGATCTCTATGGAAAAAATAACTATTGAATCTTCGAAATTGTAGTCTAATGAATCAGTTAGTTAAAATTGACCAAAATAATACCAAAACGATCTACGTGCGAAAAATATAGATCTTTGTATATTTGTAAAGTTATTTTTGAGGACTTTGCTACGCATCTACATATAGCTATCTTTGAAGTATTAGAACTTCGAGTTTTCTTTTTTGTTATACAAGCATCATTTAACTTGTAAATGTTCATGGAAATTTTATTAACTTGCACAGACTTCCTTTGAAGATTAGAGGAAACTCTGAGGCATGTGATAATTATAAATTAGTCGATAAAAAGAGATTTACCAATTTAGATTAAAACATGAAAATCGTTTTACATTATTTTACAGCAAAATAGGACATCTATACCGGAGAAATATAAAAATTTACCACTGGTTGGAAAATGTTGCCCAGAGGGGGAGGTTTTAATGAAACAAAAGGGTTGTATGGCTGTGGATCCATCGACAATTCATACTTTCTCACCTCTTTTTAGTAAATTTAATAAAAGCGGATGTGAGGTCCCGGGTAAAAAACAAAACACGTTCGTCGCAATTGTTGGAAATCCTTGCAAATATAAAAAGTGAGTATTTGCGCGTTAATGCATCAGGAAATAAAACTCTGAAATATGAGAGGATAAAGTCTGCCTATAATTTGAATGTTATTCATCATTCTATTTTGATTTCAAAATTGGAAATTTTTAATATTCTGAAGGCTGCACATTTTAATTATTTGACAAATAATTACCTATGTAATGTTTGTGTATTAGAAGTACATCCTAATCGCTTTATCAAAATACTTTCGATTTAATCCCTCTAATACAAGTTTTACAATGTTTTCTAATAAAGATATCCTTTCAATGGGTTCAATAATCTACAAGCAACTTATCTGTTTACATAATGAATATTTTCTAATTTATCTTTTTTCAATGCTTCTAAAAATAGATTGATAATATTGAAAAAATGTATTTATCTCTAATCTCACATACCAAATGATTCGTTACAAATAAGGAAAAATTTTTCATTCAAGGAAAAATTTGTCTAATCTGAATGCAGACTGAAAAATAACGAATTTCAAATTAATTACTAAACTGAAATTTATCCTGCTAAATTTCGAAAAAATACAATACGAAACAAAATTATATGAATAATACAATATTCTATTTTGATATCTCTAAAGAAAAATCATTTTTATAAATCATTCTAAAGAATGAATTAAATTTATATTTAAATTGATATTCGTAAATTTGAAATGTTAAATGAAAAATAAGGCATTATAAAAATAATGATGTACTTCCTTTCAGATATATTTTAAATCCCAATGACACCATCTTAGATTCCAATTATTTATTACTAAATGGATCAGTGTTCGCACCTTATCAAGAGCAGATGATGATGATGAATCCTGGGGTTGATTATTGCATGGAAATTGTTCCGAAATTAGGACTCAAAACTTTTGCGTGCTTTTCTGAAGGTAACTAAACAAGAACACCTTAAATCCTTTACACTCGATCGACGCCTTATATAATTTACCTGACAACTGCAAAATGTGCAATATTAATCGTTTCAGATCGAGTAATAGTAGCTGCGGACTCGCGATTTACAATTTACGCCTGCGGGCTTTTAATATCGGTGCCATTCTTAATCCTCACCATTCTGGCGTATTCCATCACTCCAAAATTAAGGGACGTTTTTGGAAAAGCATTGTGTCGTTACTGTGGTTGTTTAGCATTGGCTTTTATCACTTTAGCAATCACGCAATTGGGAAGCTTGCATCTATCGAGCGAAACTTGTACCAGTATAGGTAAGAAGACAATTCTAAAAAATTAATTTTATGTTAGAATTAAAGGAAAAAGATAATATAAAATGTCAGAAACTTTAGAATATTAAACAAAAGTGTGTTAAGATTCCAATTTTCTCCAAGTATACTAGAAACCCCCTATGGGATGCCATAAAATGATACCATCTAAGGGTTAATGCTCGTTTGAAATCAGTTAAGAAAGAATAATTAACTTTTCTAGCATTCGTCATCCAGTTCTCCTTCGTCGCATGCTTCTTCTGGCTAAATGTGATGTGCATCGAAATGTGGTCCCTGGTGCGTAGCCACGTTGATCGTGATACCTACAGAAGAATGAAACCAAAAACGTTATTCTTCTGGTACTCTTTATGGTGTTGGGGTCCCTCGGTGATACTTATCCTCGTCTCGATGATTATGGATCTGAGCCCGACGATACCAGCGACTTATGTGAAGCCAAACTTCAGCAAGGAGAGCTGCCAGTTCAAATGTAAGTCAAATAAGATTTTTAAACTCGATAAGCTCAGGATACTTGTACGATTTTCTATTAATGTATCTAGTATAGCCTTCATGGCATTCGCGATGATTTTCAAAATATTCCTAAAATCCATGTCACCCCCGCCTTCCATTTACTAAAATTTATTATAATTCTCTCTTTTTTTATAATTTCCAGCGAGCGGCAAATCAATGCCATACTTCTACGTGCCGGTCGGACTGCTGCTTCTAGAAAACGTGATTCTCTTCGCCCTGACATTTATCAAACTGACGAAATATCAGAAGGATCTTGATTTGAGACGTCTGGCGAGAAATCAAGAATCCGATCGGCTCGATCGAAGATTCCTTCGACGTTTGATGAGAACAACGTTAGTTTGCTTGATAGTCTTTTTCCTTATGGGTCTGAATTGGACAATGGAGTTGATATCCTGGTTCGTCCACGGGAATTCCTTTGACTGGTCCACCTTCGACCTCGTCAATGCTCTGCAGGGTGTCCTTGTGTTCGGTTTGTTCGTTCTACGAAGGCCACCGAGAGATTTCGTTTGGCACCGAATACAACAGCTTCGTGGCAAGGACGTAGCTGAACCCGAAAGTAGCATGGAATTGTATTTGCTTCCTATAATGAACGGTGATTCTGCGTCTAGACAAACGATCATTCCGTGAAACTAGTTTTCCATCTCTTCTTAATCAACTGCCTCAAGATATTTTAAAAGTTCTGTTGAAGAGACATCATTGTGAGTGACTTCGTTTCGTGAAGTATGGATTCGAAGATTCTGATCAATCTGTTAGATATTAGAAATTTATTCAATTATTTATTGCGTGAGTGAATGGACAGATGAGAATCGTTCTTGAAATATTTACAATTCATTGTACAAAGTACATGGAAGATTGGTTACTACACTTGACAATTTTGATTATCTTTGTTATTTGCAGAGCTACATCAGTAGCAAACTTTAGATCTACAAAATCAAATGAGACTTGAAAAATTCATTTTACCATAAGTCCAGAGTATATTTTATAAATCAACAACGAATACCTGAGCTATTGTAGTTTAAAACAGCTTAAGAATACTTCACACGCGTATTAAAATTTTTTTTGGCATAGCATGTTTCTCAAGAACTTCTCGGTTATATAAAAACATTCACAACCCGTTTTATAATAACATATGCAAGTTGTGATGTTTGTAGATTGCATAACAGTGAGAAGTTGGATAGTATCGTGATTTTACGTTGAATGCACACATTCTGCGAATCTTGTACAGTAACATTAATTACTTTTAGATACATAATTTTCCCGAGTGCATGACACATCATTAATTAAGAGTTTAGTCTTGCTAGCACGTATATAGCTCCACTTGCCATTCATGATTTAGATTAAAAACTCACGTCTGGTGAAATAAAGTGTTATCAGATTGTCATTAGGAATACAATAAGACAATAATTCATAGAAATTATAAACGTTTGTAATTTAATCGAGCGGATATATTATTTATTGTAATTTGTTATTTATTGTACTGTTATTTAAGTTATTTACTTAAGATTAAGGTAATTCATTAAATGTCTTCTTTAAAAATATTGTTCTTTATTTTGTATCCCCTTTTTCATACCACAGCGTATATTTGTTCGTTTTCATTGCGTTTCTATCGCGCTATAAAAATAAAACAGCGTAGGTTTGTACAACCAAACCATCATAACAATTCGCCAACCCAATCAAAAGGTTTTCTAAAACTAACGATTATTATCTATTCGGTGCTTACACGTACGTCAAGTGCGTAAGAACACGTTAGCACACTCTTAATAAGCTCTATAGAGTAAGACAATTAAGCACTAGTGCCTGTGGGTGGTAACCCAACAGCAAAAACCAGGTACCAAAAGTAACTTTTGAACATCAATCAAGAAATTGGTTAAGATATGAATTCTTTCCTGTCTTCCGGGAACGTCCTTTTACGTCTACTTATGTCTTTTCTACATTCCTGTATGCTTCAGCAGATACTGCCACCGTTAAATTCATACATAAATTTTGTTAATTTCATGAGAGTTTATATAGAAAAAAGTTCAATTCCTAAAATTAAATATACGCTCAGTTAAAAAAAAAGTATTATAAAAAAATGATTTTATACTGTATAAATAAATAAAAAAGAATTGTCCTGTAAAATGTACGTTATCTACTGAAAAATACAGTAACATACTAACTCGATCTTATTTTAATCACAATTTGGTAAAATCTTACGTTTACATTCCTAATTTTGACAATGTGTTGTGATCTAAAATTGTATAGCGTGTAAACCCTTTGTGGTCCTTCCAACGATTATCATTTTAGTTGCCCTGTTAAAGTAGATGCTACTTATAGGAACTAAAAGAGGCTATAGTTTAGTAAAGATTACTCTTCTGTAATATCGTTTTGCTAAAAAGTATTCACTTTTAAAAATATACATATATGTCACAGTTGATTATGTAAGGTTAAATATATCACAGAATACTCTTCAAATTTCTTTATGTTTTCACACCATAATTCGTTCCAATTTCTCGAACGATTTTGTATAATTATTCAAAGTACTAAAGGTAGTCAATATATCCTTTGAACATTTTTCAGACAGAAGATAATGCTCTAATTTATTAATGTCTTGGTAAAAAGATAAAGAAATATTGGACCTCAAAGAGTTATATTCAAATAATGCATTCTTTTGTCATTAAATAAAGCTACTCACATGAGTCTGACAACTAAACGCGCGCATATTGCAACAACTTATCAGTTACACATTAAGAATCTATAATAAGCAGGTATCATCTGTAATTGTTATTATGTTTAAATAAATATTAAAAAGGTTATCAAGTTGGTCTATGGTGTCCTGGAAATGGAGGACTAACTCCTAAAATTCCAATAAGATTTCCCCGTTGAGCAACATAAACCAACTGATACATTCCTGGTGAGCGAAGAGCGGTGTCGCTGAAGTAAATTCGCTCCGTGATGGCGTGAGGTTCGGAAGGAACCGGAGACGATTTACCTAACATAAACCTTTATCATAAACTAGTAAAAATAACTGCGATGTATCAGCAACGATAACAACTGATAATCATGTCCGATAAATGGATCAGGATTAAATCTTACCTCGACCTACATATTCGTACACAATGTATTCGTCTAGACTGGAAAATTCGTTGTGGAAAAGTCCTACCCAATCTCCGCTAGCGGGTATAGCATTTCCCAATAATCTGTATGAAACCGAATTTTCTTCATCTATAAACCATGCTGTCACAGGTTGAAATTCTACACCATGATCCTCCACACCGGGTCTAATCTATAAATGTCATTAATTTTTTAAGCTTAACAAGTCATTTGTAGTTTTTAATATCACGACAATAACAATATTACAATAATATCAAATTCCCCTGTGACAGGTTTATGGTCTGATTGTACATAATCGAACTGACTCTTGTAATTACGCTGAGTAGCGCCAAGCTTAACATTGTCATAAACATCGGCATTTACTTTGTACAAAATTCTATCAGTCCATGATGGTCGTCGCCTGTATACAAAATTTGTAAGTAAGAGTTATCAGTAAGTAATATTATGAAAATAAATTCTCCTTACTTGAGATCAAATTCTTGAGATGAAAACTCATATTTGTAAGTAGGTGGGAATGTAATAGAATTTTCATGCAATTCGGCAAAAGCGTCACCGTTCTCCATTACCGCCTTTAATTGATCTCTTGCCAATAAAGGTTTCAATTGATTTTTCTTAACTAATAAATCAATATCTGTGGCAGTTAGATCTTCTCCGTTTAATCGAAAATTTAGATCACCAATCCAAAATACATAACTGAAAGGTTGCTGTTATTTACGCCAGTTGTTATATTATACTACTCTATTGAAATACCATACTCACTCATGAAATAATATTTTAGAAGTATCTGGACTAGTATAACTATGATTTGTGAGTATTGTATTATAATCCATGATTCTATCTGCCAGTAAATGATCATGTGGAGTCAAGTGTGTATTTACTACACACATACTAACCCCATATATATTCAGTCTTACACTGACTGCCCCCTTATTACCCTAAAAACAACATATTTTTATTTAAAGGTATTAGAAAAATATGGTGCACAATTCAAATTCTGTCTTACCCACATGCCTCCAAATCCTGTCTTAGTATATTGAGCTTCTATTAATCTTAAATGAGTAATATGCTTTCTCAAGCAAAAAACATTTAAGACAAGACCCTGTAAACGCTGTGTACGTATTTTTACATAATCATATTTCTTTAATATTTCTCTGTAAAAATTTAAAAAAGATGAGGGTCTCTTAAAGGCTTGATTATTAATATATGGGAATAGAGCAACTTTCTAATTTGCACACCTAAAAGATTTAGTCCATGGATCCTCAAAGAATATGTCTAATACCATATTTTGTGGTTGAGCTTTAACTTCCTGCAACCTAGAATTTATAAACTCAGTTATCTTATTAGTAATGCATACATTTCATATGTTTTACATGTATACCCAATGTAATATAAATCTGGCAAGTTTTTTGATGTAGCTGGACCACAATCAAGAAGTCGATGCAAATCTTCTTCAGGATATTTAGTTGCCACATTCCATGTAACAAAATAAATCCTAAAATGCATAATAAACACATGTTAATAAAATTATTTACAATTAAATTAGGATAAGTTTTTCAGTTGTCATTTAAGATTTAATTCATCATTTAATTACAAAACATGAGAATGAAATTTTAATGTGAAACTATACAAAAAAAGAATCAAGAAATAATTTATACTTAACTGAAGCAAGAAATATTAAGTAACTTCCACTTACCTAAGATGATCTGATTTACCAGCCATTTTTAAGACAATATTATCTAAATTTACAAAGATTTCACTAAAATCTATGCAACTTTTTTAGCATTTGAGCACAGGTTATACTCCACTGACTGTGCAGTATCTGTCACAACAGTTTACAGGTTAAGAAATAGTGTATGGAATGGCAAGAATTTCTCAGTCGTAGACGTGCATTTAAGTATTATTTTTAGATAATTCAATCGATGAATTACAAAAGTTATGTATGTTTTCCATCAGAATGCAGCAAAACGACTACTTATGGAACCATATTGTTGACAGTTGAAAAGAAAGTAAGATTCCCCTCCAACCAAGCTCGGCACGTGACGTCAAGAAAGCAACCTGCCATTTATTGTCACCGAATACATTACGCATTTACTACATATACGCAAGTGCGTAATCATTGTATGGACAGTAACGTAGTAAGTTTGAATATGTAGTAGGTTTTTACTAATGACGTGTTCCACCACGTCGATCGCTTGCAATTGACTGCCGTTTTTGCAACGTCGAACGGTCAATCCTCCACCGATCTTCTCTTGTTCGGGTGTCTGGAATATTCTGGGGAATATTCCAGAACGCAAAATATGTACAGTAAAAGCTGGATATATGCAACAAACATTGGGACCCAGACGTTGCATATATCCAGTCGAGGTGTCGATTCTGGGCATTTAATGTTGCATATATCCAGCCGAGGTGTCGATTCTGCGTCCGTACAACTTGTTTGTACCGTGCTGCGATACCTATTCTACGTTCGTACACAACATGCGACGTGTTGCATGTTGCATGTTGCGTGTTTGATGTATCTTTGGTGTACGGCCTGCCTTATACATATGTACAGTTTTATTATTATTTTAATAAATAAATATAATTCAAATCATATCGTGTTTGGTACCATTTTAATCAGAAAAATCTAAGGCTTTGTAACATAATAGAAAAATGGAAAGGACTACTTACACTGTTGAATAGTGACCTACATACCTAAATATCTACAATACTTTTGTTTCAATTATAAGGTCAATAATAATTATTGTATTAATAATGTTAATTTTACTTATAAAGAATAAAATACACTGTCTCCTACTGTGTATATTGCATTTAGAACTGAATGACGATTAAGGAAGGAAAACAATGAAAAGTTGGTAATCAGGTATTGATGATTCACTAACAACTTAAGATAAAAGTGAAGAAATATTTGCAATACTTGTTAGAGTCGTTCTTCACACTCCAATGTATCATATACAGGTAAATCTTTAATCTATGAAAAGTAAAATAACACTACTGTTATTTCTAGGATCTTAATGGAGAGAAAAAAGAAGGAATATAAAAAAAAATGTATCGTACCTTTATTATAATTTCTCGCGTAATTCGCCTTCAACTGCTACAGTTTGATTTGTTATCGAAATAATCGAGCATAACCGAGACACAGAAAAATGAATAGTCTCGAGCAACGCTCGTACATGATATTATTTACAATAACAAGACAAACAAATAGGAAACGAAGTCTCCGTTGTTTCATAGTTATCTAATATAAGAACGTAGAAAAGCAGTCCTCTTATCAAATTCGCGGACTTTTGTGTCTGAAACAGTTTCCGGGAAATTATCAGTACATCATCCCAGGATGAGCTGCTCGTTGAAAGAATACATTCGGATTCGCTGATAAAGTTGTGTACAAGTTTCCTGCGTCTTCTGGCCTTAAGTACATTCCTGGTGGCAATACAAACGTCTCCATTGGGCCGTGAACATCTGAAAAATTTATTTATTTGTTAATTCACATCCGCTACAATATTTAATACTATTATTATTAGTCATAGATTAATCGTAATAACAGCATTTTTAAATACCATGACGATATTATCTTTATTATTATCACAACTTGCATCAAGATATGCAAAATCCTGTTTATGAGAAGTTGTAGGTTCGTCGTTTGAAATGCGTAGGCCGTCAGTTAAAAAATTAGGTCTAAACTTGTTATCTGCATAAATATTCTACCGCAGCTGGTTATTAATTTCCGGTAACGATGTAAACACCGCGTCTCCGCTTGTTTTTCCGGTCGTGTCAATCAGCAGACCGTAATTTTTTTAACGATGAACACGTTTATTTCAAATTCTTTTTAATCTATAATATGCAATTTTATTTTCGATGTATTACAAGTTGATAGAATATATTTAATAACAATATGATAATTAATTAACGTATAAAGCGAAGCTGTTGTTTTTTCTTGAATGTAATCTTAATATCTGTATTCATTAAAAGTCCTATATACTTTTCTTAATGAAGAAATCGATATAAATTGCTTAATTGAACATATCAATATAAATTACTCATCACTTTGATGAATCAATAATCTATCTATCTATTATGGTGCTGCATTTTTGTTATTTTTAAACGCTTTCTATAAATTAATCATAGGATACCAACAGAAGATCCACTTTAAAGAGAGGTTCAATTACCCTGTAACTTTAACCGGGATTCCAAGTGGGTCACACCTGTCACTCTTCCTAGAAACTTATGATTATTTGAAAGTTCTTTACAACGGATGACTTGAAATCGAACCACCATGAAGAAGCAATGAAGACCAAACGAAACGGATCGATGACTTTTAGTTTCAACCTTGTTCTCAAAATTGACAGTAAATATAATAGAAACTTAGTTATTACTGGAAAAACAAAAGATGTTTATATATATAAAAAAAAAAGCAACAATTTTGATCGACCACTAACAACGGGTCACCGATTAACTAGCATCGTCTAATCTAACGGGATACTTTCCCCTTCCAGTATAATTCTTGAAGAAGCGCTTGACCTCCGTCTCGAAACTTTCTCCCTCTCCACCTTTCCTCTGGAAGGATTTTCCTCCCTTTCGTTCATTCCTCGAGGCGAAGGTCGCAAGAGGCGACTCCGTAACGGAGGAAAAATTTGGAAGAGTGTTATATCAAGAAAGCAGACTCAAAAAATTGTTGAAACAACTTTTGAACTGAAATTTTTCAAAATAAGTTCAATATTCAATTATACAATCAATCGAAGTGTTACTCTTTCAATCAGCCCTATTTATGTTATTGTTATAATTTAAAATATTTATGAAAAGTCTTACCATCAGAATATATGGGACTTCCACCATGCCTGCAGGCTGTGCATCCAGGTATAGCGGATGAAACTAAGGCCACACGATCTGTAATACAGATCACTTGAATTAACAAATGCTTACATTAATGTTTGAAACTTGTTCAGGCTCAGTTATATTCAAGAAATATCTATTCGGTGCAACATAGGCTAAGGGTGAGAATCTTGGGGAAAGATCCTGACATCATTTGCCTTTGGTCTTAAGAAAAACTAGGAAGAGATTAATTTGAAAAAATCTTTAATGTCAGGATCATTTACTCTACCATATTATTGATTTCTAACGGAAGAAAATGATGACAGTGTTCATAATTGTAGGTATGCCAGCTTTCCATAGCGTTTCCGGACCCATGTTTATGTGTTTTCTTTTTCACCTCATAGTAGAACTAGAACACTATCATCCAAAATGAATGATAAAAAAAAAGTGAAACGGTAATCATAGAAACTACCTCCGAGAAACATAATGGCAAGCAGTTGAGGGAGAAAATGGTGAAATCGCATGTCGCTGAGAGTAGTTTTCCACTTCCTATGGAAAACTATTCTATCGAATTTAACAAACATATCAAATATTTTGTTGCACGGAACGGCTACATTGAAAGCCTATAATATAACTTTCCCTTTAACGAACGATTATATCAAAGCACACACAAGACAGCCGCTAATAAATTTCCTAGCGGTGCTGTAATCGGTTGCAAATAATTACATGCGTGCACGTAAATACCGAGGGTATGATAGTATGCCGTATAGAGAAGAGCGTACACGTACCACCGCTGTGATAATGCATTTTTCTCTTCAAAGAAGCCTCGACTGGTTTGAAGTGGAAAAAGGAAGGCGAGTAACCGCTGCCAGGAAGCGAGCTGAGAGCATCGTCTCGATCACGGATCACGGTCGCAGGAGCCTCTCGGCCGAGGGCGGCTAACTGGCGGCCCTTTGGCAGAAACATTGTCAGGAACACGAGAAGGGAAGTAGTTAATAAACCGTAGGCAAGCCAAGCTTCTCTGTCGCTCTCCGAGGAAGCTGCCACCGAGCCGATCGCGCTTGATATCCAAATCGGAAGCGATAAACCAACAGCCAGCCCGATAAATGCCGCTTCCCGGTTGTTGTCTCGAACGCCCCGGGCTCGTACCGCCAAGCAAGCCACCGCGACCAGCAGTGCGCCAGGATACCTGAAATCATCCGACGATTCAACGGTCTACGATACGGAAAACTTTTCCTTCTTAATGTACAGGGTGTGCCGAACCAAGCGAATTGACGCTTATAATTCAATTTCTAAAATATTTCTCAAGCTCCTTATGAAAAAAAAAAAAAAAAGAAAAGACAAGAAAAAATCGTATCGGTGGAAGGTTTACATTTCAAAAGTTTACCCGAGGGAAGCAACGATCTGTCCGAGAGGAGTTTTGCAACAGGAGCTCGAGGAGATTGGCCCGGTGTTTTGTATCTGGACCACCGCGGGTGGTTCACCGTAAAACCATTGCCCAATAATAGCTACTTGCACCAGCACTGCGAATCCTAATACCAATGCCTGCAACAGGAAGTAACATAAATAATCATAAATCATGCATTTAACCGCGATTGTAAAAAACAGATATTTTATTCAATGAGTGGTTCTGATCAATGAATATTACGATATTCTTAATTAACAGTATGTTATTGACGGTTGTCAGTCACGATATAATTCCTCGTGATGTATCCAGTAATATAGATGGTACATGAATATAATCGAGAGCTTATTATATAAGCAGAAAGATTACGCTTGATTTCTCTAACGAGTTATGTCATATTTCATAAACAGGTTTTCCGTTCTAATCGTCGCATCCTTTAATACGTATAATTGTATCTAGCGACGAGGAGCAATAAAAGAAATACCAGTTGAGGATCCGTTACGGCAAGCAGAAGATATCAGGAATATTAATGTTATTCAACTTAGAACATGACGTACTCGACGACCACGATAGCTGCATTTACTGCTATTACTAGTTACTACTGCATTACTTTTCATTCAAGTCCTGTCCCGCGTGTACAAATAGTCGCTCGAGATCGACATCCGGATCTCCGACATGGTGAAATAAGAAAAAATCTACGTGCATCCTTCGCCGAGAGTCGTTCCACGAGTTTCTCAGGCCCGTTTTCTAAAGCTGTATTCACACACAGCCATGAAGAACTTTCGATTGTGTTACGATTGCTTAACGATTACCAATGATCGGTCACGTAACTAGGTAGAGGTCAGGGTGGACCTGGACCCTTTAAAATGACAACTGACCCTCTTTTGAGAAATCCTATTTTAATAGAAACAAACGGCTGGTCCAAGATTCAATATGCAATGGGAAAATAATAAAAAAATATTAGATACTTAGAGCATCCTTAGAAAAAGAAATCCTAATTACTCCAATAGAATAACTGATAAAGATATTGGCTAGATTGTTAGATTATAATAGAATGTAGAGTTGCAAAAGTCAGGACTTTCATTTGTGGTTGGATACGATGCATAAATTTAGATAACACGAAATCAGAATAAGAAGCGCTTAGCTTCCACGCAATCGGATTGTTTCAATTTCGAAATGCATTTGCCACCTGGAACAAAAGAACGCATCCTTTTTTTCGTTTTTGAATTTCTTTGAAATATACTCGCAACCTCTGTTCCTTACAAATTCTGTGTTCTTAATAATTTTTTACTAATACAATTACAGGGAGCTGTAAGATTAATAATTACTCTAAAATTCACATAAAAAGTTTTCTTATTGTCTGGGTAAATATTTGAATTGTAAATGCCAAGTCCATTTAGATATGCTAAACCAAGCGTTTATGGGTTTATGCGTTTATAAAGCGCTGCTATCATTAGTCTACAGTGGATTTTGCATTCAATACGATTCGAATAATTAACTAAACGTTAAGAGAATCTACGCTATAATTTTACAAAATTATTAATCTTGAGCTCCTCTATAATTATACAAAATCGGTAAATATTCAGTTGCTTCAATTTATCCAACTTTACATGCTTTGTAATGAATTTGCAGTTGGTTTTTTCTTCACGGTAGCTAATTATAATTAACTAGATTAATATCGCGGAGGGTGTTAAAACTCACTTGATAAGGTGCTGGCAGATAGACGCCGCTGTTCAAAGAAAGTAGAAACACGCATTTGACCAAGAGAGCCGCAAATACGAGGGCAGCTGGTAAACCAACTAATCTAAATGCGGCACAGGATAAAGGATTCTGACTAAGGGACGCTGCTGCTGAGAGTCCTGCCAATAGGAACAGTCCTAGAAGTAGAGCTTGTCCCAGAAATAAATGTCGTCTGTTTGGCGCGGTAACCCTTGCCTGAAAAAAAAATCGTCAAACATTAGTAGATAATAAAATTCAGAATAGCAACAACAAGAAATCTTTTGTTACCATTGCACTGATGCGAGTGTAATTATAATTATTATTATTTGCAAAGAGGAATCTCAAAACTATTAAATATTACTTTTACATTAACTATCAGAAATTTAAAAGCAAAAGCATCTAAGGAAACCTCAAACATATAAGTAATTATTGAAAAAGACAAGTGAAATAATTAATTAGTAAATCTTCAAAGACTGGAAAAAAAGTGGAAAGTATCATTTTTGTATAACATCCAATTAGTAGATGATTAATGGTTATTCAATATTGAAAAAGAGATGCTTTCTAGAGTATTTTACGAATCTCTGGGTAAATGATTTACAGGCTAGCGTTTCACGCAACATCGTCAGCATGCTCTAATTTACCATCCACGGCGAGGAAAATCTTGTTATGGCTATCAGAAAGTATCCATCTTACGCGTGTTTCAACATGCTAACTCTCGTTCTTCTTTCCTTGACTTTGTTCTATTAATTTTCGACAAGTTAGAAACATGTGATGAGGATTGTTACACCGCAAACTATTCGTGCCGCGATATTATAAACGAATTAAAGGTAATTACAAGGTAATTTTTCTAATTACAATGATTTATAAAGTCACATAAATATACAGCTGGGAATAAATCAAAGAGATCCGTTTAATCGATAACATTATTTAACGAGATTATTAAGTAAATTAGTTGAATCAATAATTACGTACATGTAATGAATTTTATTAACTCAACCTGATTAGGCGACAACGCGGAACGTTTAGGTAATTTAACTAATTATTTCTGAAAAATTTCCAACAAAAAGTGAGAAGTTGCGGTTTCATTTTTACAATCGTCCCACTATTCTTAATTTCTATTAGAACACTGAAAGAAGTACCCTTTTTTATTAATGAAATAAAATTTCTTTCTTATTATATTCCTAGTATATTTAGTTTGATATCAGAAATTTTTCTGACAGCTTCTGTTTAATGAAAAAATAAAATAGCCAGGAGAAATAGGTAATCGACATGCAAACTAGACCTAGGTCTCGGCGAAATTGCGAGCATGCCGTGCCGCTTATTGGAGCTTGTCCAGCTACGAACGAAAACAATTACCACGGATTCTTGTACACATTTCCACGTGCTATCGACTGAGAAAGAGATAAGGATTCTTTTCTAAGCTCTATTAATTCGCCGCTTCCTCAAATCTCGATCATCGATGCTTATACGACCGCGAAAACGCGTTTCGTATCATTAAACGCGATAGCTTTACCAAGTAAAACACGTTCTTCCCGCTTTTTTTCTCAACATTTGTTCCTGTTAAGCGAATCAACTTTACGCTAGTCTTTCGATCAACAAAATAGTCAAATTACAAACAAGACGTTAAGAATTAAAAAAAAAAAAAGAATTGCCTCCAAAGCAACCTTTTAATTTCAAAGGATTAAATATATATAATAAATATAAAAATCAACTGACCGATTGTTTGTTAATTATAAATTCAAATGTATGCGTATAAGCTAGATGGCTGAGAATGCAAAAGAACACGGTTAAGTGAACCCCGGTTACTGATAAGCTTAAAAGGTTACGCGTACATGTAGCTATAACAATTAATCCTTATATACCAATTAGAGAATTCTTAATTAATGTTATCCTGTAAAACTCGACCATCAGTTTGGGAAAAGATACTGGTAAAGGTAAGCGAACCGACCTTGAGCAGTACGAAAACCTCGAAGCCAGCCATGAGGAGCATCGTGGCTGCGCTGAGGGCCGCCAGAGGAAGAGCCCAGGGTCGTTGTCTGAGCAAGGACCTCGAGTACAGTCGAGTATCGGGCTCGATCTCCGGGCTCTTCTTTCCCGGCATTTTGAACACCGAAACAGTCCTGTTCGGTGCTGGTACACTGATGACACTGGCCACGCTGGCCAAACCGTTCTTGTCCATCGCCACGTCGCTGGGTACCAGGAAGAATTCCGTGGACAGCTCGTAATCCTTCGATGCTTGGCCTCGTATCGCCGTAGTTCCGGTTGGACCTAGCCAGCTCGCTGTGGCCCACGACAGGATAATCGGGCTCATCGTCAGTCTCATCGCGTCATCCGTCCTTCCGTGGTTATCTTCTGCTATGGCTGTTTACTTTTCTTTTTCTTTTTATCCAAGTTTCTGTAACGTCACCGGGACATGCGCCGTTTCCTGCGTAAGCGCATCCTTATGCGCCTCCTCCTCTTCGCCGGGACGAATGGCACTCCTGCAATTACGATACAACGCGGTAATTAAGACTTGCCAGTTCATTTCAGAGGATTAACTACTCGGCTAATAGCAAACATCAATTTTAACGGGATACTATTGGAAAATCTTGCTGACGCGTGCAGTTCATTATGGAGATAGGAACTTGCTTCCATATTAGTAATAAAACTTGAACGACACGCTACGCTCTTGAGAAATCTCCATCAAAGTTTGGAAGCTAATTGAAAACATTGTAACATTTGAATTCAAATGGTTTAGAGATGTAATTTCACGTAGATTTATCTAGTTAAGAATCTTTGTAAATAAGATTAATGTTATAGATAAATACATGTGTTAATTTAATAATAACAAGTTATTGAAAATGCCTACAGTAATAAAATAGAATTGATTTGTTTGAAAATATTCTTTGATATAATTTCACTTCTAACAAAGCCAAATAAAGCATATAGCCTATTCTCCGTGAGAGGCAAGCATGACCAGTCCGCAGGCATTCACGGAGCTAACACCATTAATTATTATAAACAGGGTCAGCCGTAAGTAGAGTGAAGCATAGAATGATTAAAACCGGAGTAAAACCGTAAAAACAAGCTACTATTGTGACGTGCGTTGCTGCAATCGAATTTACATTGAATCGAAGGAACATTAAATGAATCTTTGATCGTGATAATAAACCGAACCTTTTAAGTGTCGATCATCCTGTGTCTTCGGTATCTCGACGATATTTCTTCCCACATATTTTTCTCTTCTATCAACAAATACTCCGAGCGATAATATAGTCTTTTGTTTCGTTCGAAACACTATGAACGTTATAAATGAATATGACACCGAGTATGAAAGAGATTTCCTACTTTCTACCCCGCGGATGCTTCGATTTATCGAAGACCAACGAACACTATGAGATATGAGTGAAAGAAATTTGATAGTGAAAGAGATTTTCTGTCAGTGCATGGATCGGTTCTCTGATGGGTTAAGCCAATTGAGTGGCCACGAACCGCGCGTTGGGAGAGCCAAACTCCGACTAAACCAACGAGCATTCTCGAGGGAGACACTGGAAGCAGACTGGAGTTCCGTTCTGGAGGTGAAGCCTATCCGTTACGGAGGAGCCAGGGAGATGGTGATGACGATGCTGAGGTGGTAGTGGCATACAACAGGAGCGGATCCACGCAAACCTTCCACGAGGATTCTCTTTTTCTATGAAACTGAACAACTCAAGAATCGAGAAACTAATCGACACTTATGAAAAATTGCAATTTTTAAATGTTACACTTTCAGTAACTCTTTTTTACTTTAACTTACATTTTAAGTATCATTACTAGTATATTAATAATACAAAGCAGCAAATTGAATATTGCAATTTGAAATTAAAAAATTAAATATTTTTATTCTTAAATAATTATACCACTTCTATTGCTATACCAATACTGATTTGTCAATGTGTTTAAAACTTCTTACAGATTTTGAATATTCAGAATGATGTTAATTTCCCTAAATAGAAATACAAAAACTTTGTAATGTATGCTTTGAGTTTGAAAGCGTTTCAGTGAGACTTGTAAAAGCTACCTATTAATTATGTTACGTTATGCGTGTAGATTTTTGAAAATACTTATCTCTTGATAAAACTCCATCATCATGAATTATAATTAACAAAAGGAGAAGCGCTTAGGAATGAATGTAGGAAGATTATTAGAGATACAGTTACGATGCTAATGCCAGCAGATTGCTTCAATAAGCCAAGTGTCCCAGCTTCCATGAATTCCAATTAACTTGCAATTATCTGAAACAGGTCTATTTTATCGAGACCGTTTTGATCTGATCCGCCCCTGACAAGATGAGAGAAGGAGCCAAGTTGGAATAAAAGAGAAATAGAGAAGGATCGGTACGAACGAAAGAAAAAGAAAGGAGCTGGTCCTCCGACGTCGAGGACCGGACCCAGAGACGCATTTACATATCGTACGTGTAATAACCTCGAAAAAGTTTTAACAATGGTCGCGAGGTTCGTCTTGGCTGCAAAGAAGAAGGAAAAATTCAAAGACCAACTCGAAGGATAATGACCGATTCAAAAAATGTTTCACAACTTTTTGTGAACTTAGAAACGATGAATGAATGAAGAATTTTTTTTGAAATAGAAATATAATAAAAATAAAAATAAGAGTAATTATTCCTTCTTTGTAATTAGCAAGTTCTTTTAGAAATATTTACGATTATTCCACAAAAGTAGATGTAAAACAGGTGCAAATCTGAAATCATAAAAATAACAGTTATTGATCCAGTAAGATTGACAGGAATGATAAATATTATTTACCTTGGCCGAGAAGTAGCTTGCGAAAATGACTGTTGTTAGTGAAAGTGATAAGAGAGGCTTTCCTTTCTAGATTCTAAGTAGCGCGTCTTATTTGTCGTTCTGCTCGAGCTAGATAACATGTAGGCGGTCTGGCGTCACAGATCAATGATCGTTTGCGCACATACGACACGTTCGGTAGCCGTACACGATCGATCCCTTGTAACCAAGGTTCGATGAACTCTTTGCCTCGAAAACCGGACAAACCGTTTGCACGTTCAGTTTGGAGGCTGAGCTTCCTCAATAACGTATGTATAAACATGCCTTACATTTCTTGCTCTTCCTGTCAAACAATGTTTCCAGAGACTACCAGTCATCGAAATTCTAAAATCCCAAAACTCTTGCCAGTAACTTGCGCCCTTCTTCTTCTTATCATTCTTGTTAACTCGATGAAGATCAATTTTTAATTCTCCGTACATTCGTTTATACAAAAATTCATAATTTATACTCTGCAAATAAATTCATTTAAAATTATATTCTTATAACACACTGAATTCTATACACGTTAGAAAAAATAATTTTAACTTAGAAAAATTATAAAAAACATTTTGCACGATCTGTCATTGAAAAGAAACTCCTCTCTTTTGTGCTTCACTTTAAAATCTCAAGTGATCCACTGGTACACGGTGTACGTTTCTTTTTTCACGTATCCCGTAACAGTGTTATCGACAAACAAGCTTCAGCAGGAAACATAAATATTAAAATCCGCTGAATTTGGCACAAAGTTTTCTGTCCTTTCAGCAAAGGCAGTTTTTCTCCCTTCATCTTGATTTTGGAGGTACTCGACATCCTCCTCATTATCCGAAGGTACGATGCTTCTTTGAAGCATTTATATAAATTCCAAGATTTAATAACTAATATATCCAATAATAATATTATTTTAAGAATACTAAACATTTTTATTCACCGTGCTTGCAATCTGTTCAAATGAAAAGGTTTCACTGATATCTCTGACACAGTTCCTTCCATACGATAATTACTATACCGGCATGCTTAGCATTGTTAGAAATGAGATTTATATCCTTACGGGTTGTAAGTTCGCGACTAACTTTTACCCGTAGAAACGTCTTAACCATTCGTGCAAAAGAAAAATTCCATAGAACAATAGACGTTGTCAAAGTCTGAACAGCGAAAATCCTTCCCCGAAGCTAATGTACACAAATGCGTACGATGTACAATGTCTCGCAATGGCCACACCCGGTCACTTTCTCCGCCAAAGCCAAAGTCATTCTTGTACCGTAAGTTACTATGCTTAATGACGCAAGCTACCCACGCTCGATCTAATGCGAAGCACGGTGAACCGCTTTCCTTCTGGCACGTCGACCAACCATGGAATGTAAATTACAAGCTCGAGCAAATAAGAAAAAAGGATAATTAAGACCGCGATCCTTTAACGGCAAAAAGCGGAAGATCGAGTCGTATCACGGCCCTGACCGAATTTCTTTGCACTTCAAGATCAATCTCGGAAGCTTTTCAAACTTCTTCAAACCGCATCCTACCGCATCTTGTTAAAGTCTATCATTGATATTCAATTGTTATCTGAAACGTATAAATTAATTTAATTTGACTTATAACAACGATAGGATCGATTCAGATTTTAAATTGCTAAAAATATAAAATAACAATATAATACAATGTTTAATTGGAATTTTTTAATGCATTACTTCTTGTAGGGATTTTAATTTTAATTCTGATCATAAATTATAGAGCGGTTATTAATTAAAATAACAAAATGATATAGTTGAAGAATTTAGTGAAACAAATTGTTTGAAAACCTCGGGTGCAAGGATTATTTCTATGCGAAAGAAGCTGTCGAGCGTGGTGAACGCGAAATTCCTTCGTCCACGCAAGGAACCCTAAATGATGCGGAGCACCGAACTCTTGGTATTGCAGTAAGAGAGGAGAGAAGTCGCTTGCAACCGGTTTCGACAAACTAAAGCTAAATAAAGTCATGTACCGGCGCGAACGAAGGAAATCATTCCGTTGATAATTGCACCCTCGAAAAACTTTTGGACCTTCCTTGCAAAACGATCATTATTCCCTGCATAATATTTCAGAAGGATAATCATCATTATGCACCGCGTATCTGCATAATTTCAATGCAAATAATTTTCATTTTCCATTTCTATTTCTCCTCTCTGATATTTTTAAACATAACATATTCTAATCACCTGAAATTTAATTATTTCTTTATTTATTTTGAATAAATTAGTTCCATTGATTAATTATAAAATTAATTATTATTCATCTGACTACTAAACCAACGTACCTTTAATCCATATTTGAGAATGAATTTTTCAGAAACAACTTCTCCAAATAATTAATAACAATTTCACCGATCGATAACCGTGATCGATCAAGAAGGAAACATTCTTTCGTGACTCACCCCCTCGTCTATTCTTCGCCTTGTCGAGTTTGATACGTTGATAAGTCGACCCTTCCACGGCGATTCATTTGAATATAAATCCGGCTGTCTACACACATTGGAAGTCTCTTGGAAGGAAAACGAACAAGAGGACAGAGAAGAGTTGAAGAAGGACTGAAAACTATCCAGACACGAAAGTAAGAAGGAAGAAAGACGAAACGAAGAATTCTTTTTTCGTTGCACATTGTAACCGCAAACCACGGTGGTCGGCCATGCAAGATATTTTTTATTCACCTTATTTTCGGCTCCTCTCCACGTATTATTTAATTTTTTTTTTCTCTCGCTCACTTTTGACGCTCGCGCGCAAATCAAGTTTACAAGCACATTTGCGGTTTTTCCTTTTTTCCTGCTTCAATACTGACATTGTGGTAAGCAACAGATGAATATCTACTTAAAGTAAATACGTGTGAAAATGATTAATACGCTAGGTCGTAAATCCTTCGTGTAAGAATAGTAAAATAAATTTTTCTTCGAATGAAAAAATATTTATTCCGAGTTAATTGGTCTTGTAACGAATACCAAGAGCGATGCATATTTATACGTGTGCACACGTGCGCCCGCGTCCGCGCTCGCGAAGTTGAGGAAACAAGAGGCAGAAGGCTAACTCAAGGATACAATACTGTTTCGTAGGTTCGATGACCCGAAACCGTCTAACGAAATCCAATAACATCCTATATTACGCTTCTTGACAAATCAAATAACATAAAGAACACGTAATTACATAAGCAAATAAATTATTGAAATTAACAGACGCGATTAAGATCATTCAATTGTACCAAGAACCAGATACTTATTCGATCAAGAAAGCGTGAAACGAACTTGAACATGAAATTGATGCGTATTTCATGCTTCGAACAAGACCATCCAATAACAAATATACCTCGCCATTTTCATAAATAAATATTCATGAGAAACGAAAACGTGGAAATCGTTCAAAGGATAAATGAACGAACGACGGCAAGAATGATCTATTTGAAAAAAAAAGAAAAAAGAAAAAAAAAACTATCGATGTATATACGGCATACAATGGTCCCGGGGGTAAAGAAACGTCCAAAAGGGGTAACTATTATTTTATTCCCTGCGAGTGCATTGTTAAAGGAAACTTTTATTACCTTCGCCAAGGACGAAAGCTCAGCACACGTAATCCCAGGGAAAGCCTGCATCGAGTCATGAAACATTTACATCCTTACACACGTATTATACCGAAGGGTACGTGCGTGTAAAACCTCGTTGCCCGTGTCTACGTGAGCTCACGATGGAGTAACGATATTTATTATATGTCGGCTATGAATTATGGGCCGTTAACTTTGCCTTCGTGACGCGGCCCTTCGCTCCGCGACCAGCCAGTCTACGAATCCGCCTGCAGAAAAATATATGCATATGCGCATGCATGCCGTGTGTTTATTCCAAGCGAAATGTTCACGTTTAACTAAGTGGGCTCTCGTTTTCACGAATTAATTGAATTTCATTGAATGAGAAACGTTA